ACTCATGCACGCCACACACCCGAGATTGTATTATATGGACACTGATTGTCAGCAGTGTAGTCAAGTGTATATATATGTATGTAAGAAAAAAAATAAAAGATACCAAAAGAATAAAGACAGAACGGAGACTAAGACCGAGTCGAAGACTACGCATTTTTGCGCCGCGTGATATCGATAAAGATTAAGTCTTGCTGTGTCCAATCGCTCGTCTTTCACATCCAGCTTTACATACATATTTAAAATCTCTTTTTATCTATACATACGTATACTTGTTATATATTGATATATATGAGTAGAAAGATAGGATAGGAAATGGTGAGTAAAGTGCGATTCCAGCTTGTTATTGTTGTTGCAGACACGTTTTTGTAAGATTACCCGAAAAGATAAACGCGCTCTCAGTTCTGAGCTTTCATTTCATTATTTTCGGTAATAATAACAAAAAAAATTTTATTTTTTATGTAATTATTCGTTTTTTAAGAGAAATTTTTATTAGAAAAATCAAAATTAGGAAGAAATATTGATGATAATTTAATTAAGACACATTTGATTTAAAATTAACAAAAATTGAATTTTTTAAGCATGAAAAACTTCAAACTTTTTATCGAAAATTTTTCTAGATTTTTAAGCTCAATTTTATTGAAATTTTTTTTTATTGATTTCTAAATTAAATAAAAAAGAAATAATTTTTTTATCGGATATAATATTAGCTTTCATTTCATTATTTTGTGTAATTATAACAAACATAATATAATTTTTTATGTTATTATTGATGTTTTTTTTAGGCAAGAGTAGTTTTATTGAAAAAAAAAAATTATTAGGAAAAAATAGAAGGCTTAAAATTAACAAAAATCGAGTGCAAAATTCCCGAAATTTAATTTTCAAGAAATGATACTTTTTTATTACTAATTAGTGTGGATATTTTTTTATCGATCTTTAAATTAAATTTTTTAAATAGAAAAAAAAATAATTTTTTCATTGAATAATTATAATATTATAGTTTCATTAATTTTAAGATTACTAATATAATAATTGTTCATTTTTTTCCGACAACTTTAGTAAGATAAACTAAATTAACTTGTATTTATTGAATACATGTAAGCGGTCATTTTACAAATTTTATATAATCCGACAATACTAACTCCCGAACCCTGATCATTGTTTTTTAAAGAGCAAATTTTAAAGCCCAGAGTCAACAGCTTAAAAGATTTTCTTTGTCACTACCCTTCGGTTTCACCCCTTCAATTATACCGAAATCTCTCTCTGACTTGAAACCTATTATTTAATCTCTGATATTTAATGCAATTGAATAAGCAATTTCGAACGCATAATTTTGAATACAAATTTGATATCTGCTATAATTAATTCGATTAGTTTATTAAAAGAATAAAAAAATAGTAACAATAAACTACTAACAATTATCGTATTTACACCCTCACTCGCTTTCAACATTTTTAACAACCAGGTAATAATAAGGCTTTTATGATTATGACACTCAACTCTAGTTAGTTTTCACTTAACTCATTACACGTGTAAATACTTTGTAGAGTTAATAAATAGATAAACTAAAGTACATTAAATTATAGAGATATAACTCTCTAAGGACTCATTTTCAAGCTTATATCTGCGCCCTTGATAAAAATATAATTTTCAGCGACATAATTATAACAAAAAATACTTATAATTTTAATTTTTCAGTCTAGCTCAAATTTTTTTAATTAATCATAAATTAAGGACCTGCTTTATTTATAAATTTTTTTTTTACTATATTTAATTGATTTTAATATCAATAATTAATCTCTAAATTTTACTTTTATAGTTATTTTATTTCCATAATTTTACAACAAAATTTTTTATACTTCTATCAAAATAACAAGATTAAATTTCATTTCTTAGACAAAAGACCCAGTTATTGACACTTGCAATTTTATTCTAATTAAATAAATAAAATGTTCTTAAAAAACCAATTATCTTAAAAATTATATTCATTAATTTAATTTTTTTTTAATTAAAATAAAATTGCAGGTCTCAATAATTAAGCCAGTGTCAATAACTGGGTCTTTTACCTTATTTACAATAAAAATAAAACAAAAAAAAATTTTTACACAAATTATTTTTACAAATCATTTATTAGAGACCAATTTTTAGTTCTTAACAAACATTTTTTACTATTTAAAAGATTTATTAATATTTAATAAATGAATATCAGATTTATTAAATACTAAGAAATTTTTGTTCAATACTAAAAAGTACTCTAATAAATGGTTTGTTTATTATTAACAAATATTTTTTAATACAATTTATACTTTTTAGAAAAAATCAAAGAATAAATTAATTTAATAAACTAAATAAATAAATGAACTAATGAATGAATAAAAATAATAGAAAACAGATACTAATAAATAAGAGAATAATATAAAGTGTTATTCGCGAATGTTGAGCACCACTGAGCGCAGCTGCCGCGGCGGCAGTATCTCCGCGTTGTCTGCTCCCTCATACCACCCTCGCCGCCTTGTGTCCCACGTGGGCGACGGTCGAAGGGGTCGCTCACGGAATGAGGGTGACGCGGGAATATAGGATAGAGGATAGAGGATAGAGGACGCATATATGTACATATATATAATATATATAGTGGGTAACGTTACGCGAGAAACTAACACGGGCTCAGTTGAGACAAGAGAGAGTATAGTACATACATGTATGTATTGTACGTGTAAATGTATATGGAACAAGAGCAGCAAGCCGTAGGAGAATAGTATAGGGCCCGAGGGGTAAATAGGGGTCGGCAGCACCTTACACACGCCACCCACTGGCCATCTTCTAGTTCCTCCCTCTGCACTTTACTCCAACACACACCAACTACTGTCCTTTATCCTTAAAACTGCTGGTACGTGTTTTCTCACGAGGAAAGACGGAGATAAAAATAAAGGAAAAAATAAAAATAGAGGAGTTGAGCTGAGTCGTATAAAAGGAGAAAGAAGAAAAGTAAGGAAAAAAAATATAAAAACTACGTGCTCGTTCCAAGATTCCGGAGGGTGGAATAGAACCTCGACGCCACTTGGACGTCATCTTCCCTCTGGCTGGCCGCGTTACGGAAAATAGCGACGCGTCCCTTAGTTTTTCACGAGAAAAATAAGAAAAAAATACGGTTGATCCTGACAAAAAGTCGCGTAATGATTAAAAAAATATTTAAGAAAATATCTGAGCCGATATGTTTATGATTATTATTATAATTGTAAGTATAATTATACTTTTGATGAAAAAAAAAATAATATTTGCAAATGAGAAGAGATTCTCACGTACTGCCCGTTAATTTCGCCCGCAGGATCTGGCCATTAGTGGTAAACTAGAGGAAAGGGAGGACGATGATAATTACGAGAGTAAACACGGAAATATGTATTAATATATCTATATAGAAGTTGAGAAATAAATATGGTTGTTTTGTTATGGATTATGAGTTTAAAAGTTCGAGCGTAGGTCAAGATTGTGCTTACGTATCTTCAGTCCACGTGGGCACGTGGCCGCATTTGCGAATATAAGTTTCTACCACCAACAACCACCGCACAGTATTTACTGATTATTCTTGTTATTATTTTCTGTCGAGGATAGCAGATATATATATATATGAGGCTTTTATGAAGCGAGCTTATTAATCTTCTTTATCTGCTGCTTATTTCTTCTTTGCAATTTCGGTCTTGATCAACGCGCGACTTGTTGTTTGTCGGTCATAGTGGATAGAATTGTACCGACAGGAATTGTCGACTGCTAACACTGTAGGTAAATTGTCCTAGTGTCGATATCTTCTGGCTAATTTTTTTTTTTAATTAAAAATTAGCAATTTTTAGATCAGATTGTTGTTTTTTTTTTGGAGTAAATGACCCAAATTATTTATTTATTAAATTATTTATTTGGTTTTTAATTGTTAAACCTTCTTAAATTTTTTAACTATCAGAAAGACATTTATAAGTTGACAATTATACATAAATTAAAATGAATTAACTAATTGGAAATTTTTATTTTTGCAGTCTACAATAAATCAATCTATTAAAATGATGATTAGAATTTTTTTTCTAATAACAAATTGTCTAATTCGAAATTTTTCATAATTTCTAGATAATAATAGTCCAAATAAATCTTATTTCGGTGATTAAAATAAAAATATTATACATATTATAGATATTGAATTGATTATTAGATAAAAAAATAATTTAATACACTTGTTAATTTTTACATAAAGGATTTTCTTAAATGAAGGCCGAAAATTTGCTTATCAGAGCGTCTATATTTTTTTTCAAGCAAATCAAAAGTTTTAGAGTAAAAAAAAAAATTGTTTTAAAAATTCTTTTCTTCTAAATTGTTTTTTTTTTTATCCGTAAAATGAGGAAAATAATATTAGAAATTGTTAAATTTATATGAATAGACTTTATTAACAATTTCTAACATATTTTTTCAACATAAAAAAACTTTAAAACTAATAAAAAAATTTATTTTTATGAATTTTACAATATTATTATCCTAATAAGCTCTTAGATAAAAAAACTTTTAAAAAAAGTTTCAATTAAGGTAAAAGACCCAATTACTGACACTGGCCTAGTTATTGACACTAGTAATTTTATTTTAATTAAAAAAACAAACCAACTCTAATAAATTAATAAATATAATTTTTGAATTATAAACTTCAGAATAATTAGTTTTTTCAGAACATTTTATTTTTTTAATTAGAATAATATTGCAAGTGTCAAACAACTAGGCCGGCGTCAATAACTGGGTCTTTTACCTTATTTCTTCAAAAAAAAAAAAAATCAAATGACCCTGAAACAAAATAATTACCTTATTATTAATATTGCCAATATTAATAAACTCCAAAAAAATTTCCAAAATTAAAAATTAAAGACTATTAAATACTAGTTTTTTTTTACAAATTTAACACCTATTTTTGTTTAACAGTTTTAAATTTCAATTTTTTTAATAAATTTTTATGATTACCTTATTATTTAATTCCAGCCCGAAATTATTCGCTCACCAAGCTGGGTGCTGACCAACCAGCGAGGAAATAGTTTTGAGTATTCAATTTTTCTGACCAGCTTGCTGTTGGGCCAGGGCTACAATGCTTACGTCGCGAGTGGATATGCATCGAGGGAGCAAACAACGTACGACATGTCTGGAAATCCTTGCCCGTACATGCCAGAACCTGCGAAAATATCTCCAGAATCCGAGACAGCAAGTGTGTCGAAATATCAGCTGAAACCGCCGGCGCAATTCCAGAGTAAATTGCTCCTGGAAATCGAGGCGGCCCGGCTGAAAAAGTTGGAGCAAGAGGAGCAGGACAAACAATTTGAGCAGCGGAAGTTAATTATGGTACCGTTAATATATTTTTCCATTGATAAGTTTCATTATTCAATAAATTTCTTATTACTTATTCCTTCTTTATCCAGCAAAAGTTAATTGTTCACTATCATTATCATCAGTACCGTTATTTCCAGTAAGTGCTTGAATTAACAGTAATTTTTGTTCTTTAGGAACGGGAACGCCTTCCAGCGGATGAATTCTGGGGGCAGAGGGTGCATGCGTGGGTAGTAATACTGCCCGACAATCAAGCAGGTGGTGCTCGTCATCAGGAAGTACTTGAGCCTTTTTTTATAGAACCCTCGTCTGGGCAGCATTACTCACTCGACAATCACCAGACGAATCTTTTGTACCATGGGATCGAGAGCCTCTGGAACGATCGGAACTACTGGGTCAATATGCAGACCTGCGAGAAGGCCTGCGAGGAAATCGACTGGAACTTGGCTGATAATTCGCTCTGGCTCAGTTTGTTGCCAAGCGAAACTATCAAGGAGTTGGAGATGGAGATGATTAAGCCAGATGAGGATTTTAGTGGACATGTGGATAAACATTTGGATATGCCTACTTCTTATGTTGAGCAAATAGACATTCAATCGCTTGGTAAGCACTTTAAATATTGTTTTTATTTTAAATTGTCGATTTCATTAGTCATCTAGTATAGAGCCAGGATTTTTGGATTAATTTCTAAATAATAATTTATTATTTTTAATTTTTTTAATTATGACGAAAATATTGGTCGTATAAAAAATCATTTAAATAAAAATTGATGTTTTTAAAGATATAAACTTATCCCGATGTTACACTAATCAAGAGCTTTCATTTGAGTACCCACATGCATTTTTATATATTTTTCATATGTACATATATATAATTTATATAAATATATAAAATATATGAAAAATTGATGTGGGTATTCAAATGAAAGGTCTTGATGAGTGTAATATCGAGACGAGCTTATATCTTCAAAAATATTATTAGTTGACAAGATAGCAAATTCAGTTCTTAATTATTGACATTTTTTAAGATATAAGCTCATCCTGATATTATACTCATCAAGAGCTTTCATTTGAGTACCCACATGCATTTTTATATATAAATATATAAAATATATGAAAACTTGATGTGGGTACTCAAATGAAAGGGCTTGATGAGTGTAACATCGGGATGATCTTATATCTTTAAAAATGTCATTAGTTCACAAGATACAAGGTCGTTTATTTATTATGTATAAATAAATCATACGAAACTTTTTTTTTTAGAAAATTGACATGTCTACAATTTTTGTTTCAAAACTTTTTTAAAAGACCAATATTTTCGCCGTAATATCAAATATTCAAGCCATTCATTTCGAAATTAAGACAAAATTATGGATTTAGTCATAAGTCATCATTTGGTGGTATTAAAATGAATATGTGTTCGTATTTTCTAGATTATGAGAGGCGTTTTCCAAACGGAAGAAAGACAATGATGTTCAAGAAGACAAAGGTTGAGCTCTTTGCTCCCTATGTACAAATGGACGGGCTCATTGAAAAGATAACGGTACACGAGGATTACGAATGTGAAAAGGCCACGCATGTGTACGAAAAATATTCTAAGCGAGGCGATAAACTTTTTCAGTCGACTTTTTTTGTTGGAAAGGGTATTAAAATTGATTTGTACAAACGTGGACGGTCTGATGCTGTCAAAGGTATTTTTATGATTATTAAAATTTTTATTTATAAATTTATAATTTTTTTATTAAAATTTATACCGAATATAATTGTTTCGCTTTTAAATAAAAAGTGAAACAATTGTTTAGTTTAAAACAAAGTTTAAGAAATTAAAAAAAATTCATACTTTTTATCAGAAAGTTACTTTTAAATTTAAAGAACTAAAAATATTAATTCAATTAAAGTTTTTGTCATATAAAATAATATTATAATTTTTATTTATACAGTAAACTCCAAACAAAATTATAAAGTTGTATTTTTTTCATTTCATGAATGAATAACGGAAGAATAGAGTTATATACAGAATAACTTCCTTGAAAGTTTACTGTCCGGTATTTCCACTTAAATTTCGAGCCTTTGAGTTTTTAAAAATTAAAACTCTTTTATCACTTTATTTTAAAAAACTTTAAGAGTCTTTTCATTATTTTTTTATGATCCTGTTATGTTATATTATATTAAATATAATATTGTAGCGTTGTAAATAAAAATAAAAATATGCTTCTAGAGCATCATTATTCAATTGACGGTGATTCAGTAACTGATGAAAGAACCCTAGAATTTTACGACGTAGTCCGGAGTGATGGTTTATCAAAAATTCAAGTACATCCTCATTATCTCACTCAGCATTACCTCGGCCGAAAGGACCTCCTCTACTATCGGTAAGTCAATTAATTTTTTACTAAAAATAAATTTTTAATTACTCTTGAATAAATTTTTCAGCAACGTCGAATTTTCACTGAAAAAAACTACTAATCAAAACACTTATCATCGTGAAGTTTCGGTAATAAAAAAAATATAGAATAAAATCAACAAATAATTAATAAGTCCTAGATTTTTGCTAAAGATATTGGGCTTATAAAAAAAGTTTAAAAGTTTTGAAACAAAAATTGTAGAAAATTCAATTTTCTAAAAAAAATATATCTTATAATTGTTTTTTACCACCCGTATTTTCGCTGTAATTACAAAATTAAGATCCACAATGAATGATTAAAATTTTTTTGCTAATTCCAAAAATATTAATTTTGAAATTGCAGCTTTTTTATTGTTCCTAAGAAAAAACTAGCATTAAATACTGACTTTTGTTTAATTGCACTGTATTTTCTAAACTATTGACGTTTTTAAAGATATAAGCTCATCCCGATGTTATACTCATCAAGACCTTTCATTTGAGTACCCACATCAATTTTTCATATATTTATATATATTATATATACGTATAAATGAAAAATATATGAAAAATTGATGTGGGTACTCAAATGAAAGGTCTCGATGAGTGTAACATCAGGATGAGCTTATATCTTTAAAAATGTCAATAGTTCACGAGAAACAAGGTCATTTCTTAATTATGTATCTAGAGAAAGAGAATTATAAGGTACATTTTTTTTATAAAATATAATTTTGAATAACTTTTATTTAAATAATTTTTTTATACCCCAATATTTTTGCCGTAATTTCAAAAATTTACCATTAATTATTAGTTAATATTTTAAAATTACAGTAAAAATCCGAGCCGTAATAATAAAAAATGTAATTTTCAGAAAATAATTGAAAAATTCAACAGAAATGATAAATTACCCGCAACTAAAGACATCGCGGTGCGTGAATTTTGCATAGAAGACAACAAAATAGAATTAAAGTATCATTACAGGGAAGACGATGTCACCAGAGCAACGCGAACCTTCATAAAACCCTCAGATCGTGGGGATCGGTTGGTATTTAACCCAGAGATGACTTACGGATACAATGTAACACTTTTGTTTATTTACATTTTATTATATTTATTTATTTAAAAATATTATACATATCATATGACTGATGATTAAAAATATCAATATATTACAGCCAGATCCACTAGCTCCGTTGGAGAAGTCGTTGGATTTATTTTATTTACTTGAGACTCAATTGAAAGAAGAAGAGCAGTCGCTTGTTTACGTTCATGAGGCTGAGCGATTGATTAACACCTTTTTGACGCTCCGTAAGAGCGAGCAGGGCATTCCAAAATTAACCGTGTCGCAGTTTGATCGCAATAGAAATGACGAGGCTAAAGCTGCGATGTTTGCTCACGTAATTTTATTTTATTGAACCAATTAATTAATTAATTAATTAATAGAGTAGGTTTTAAAAAAATTTTTGACCCACTCTATTGATTAATTAGTTAATTTAATTTAATTGGATAAAATTAAATTAAATAACACTCGAACAATTTATAGGAAGAAACGCTGCGCGAACAATCTGAGCGGCAAATTGAAGAGGAGATTGATTATTTACAACCTTATTTAGCACGTATTGGTAATCCCGACAAATTAACTAAGAATCAAGCGTTTCAAGTACAACAAGAGTGCCTCAATGATTTTAAAGAAACTCTAGTGAACCGCGCTAATAGAATTTGGCGTAAATTCCAAGTAATCCGACTCAACTTTGAAGAATTACAAAGTCAATTAGCTCAAGTAATCCATTTAATCTCGCTCTTTTACTCACTTTGTTTTTTTTTTCTTTATTTTTATTTTAAACTTTTGAAAAAATATTTTTTTATTCGCGAATTAATTCATTGATAAATTTATTTACAAGTGGGGTCAAACCATGTTAATTTTTTTTAAATATATTAAAAACATCAAACAAAGATAAAATAGAAATTTTATCCAAAAACATGAAAGCCAAAATTTTTTCCAAATTTTAAAGGCAAAAAAAGCTATCGAAATCTTTATTTTTTCGGTAAATATTTACAAGTGGGATCAACTATTTTAATTATCAAGTTTTTGAACAAAATTTTTATTTGATTTTATTGATATATATTTTTTTTTTTGAAAAATATATAAAAAAATGAACAATTAAAAAAAAAATGTTGATTATCACAATTTTATCAAATTTTCTAAAAAATTTATAAATTATTAAGAAAATTGTAATATTCAACTTTTTTTTTAAATTGTTCGTTTTTTTTTATGTACTTTTCCAAAGAAAAATATATCAAAAACATCAAAAAAAGTTAAATTATAAAATTTATCCAAAAAAATGAGAGCCAAAATTTTTGCGTCGTACAAGCAAACAGAATAAAAAAAATTTTTAAATGTTAATTTTTCACCTATTTATGGCTTGAAATGTTGTTTACCCCACTTGTAAATAATTAATTGCCTTATTAATTTCAGGCTGATGATTTAACCAAAGAAGAAATAGACAGTCTCACTGAACGAGCGACTGAGGCTAATTTTGAAATGCACACACTCGACGTAAGATTAAAAAGACACGTCGAATTGTCTTCAACGCGGTATCAATCGATGCTCAGCAAACTTAATTCACATCCGCGACTTTCTTCTCTTTCAGAACAATAATAATAACGGTAAGTAGTAATGTAATTGATGATAATTCGTTTTGTTTTTTGTCTTTTTTATCCAAAATATTATTGAATTAACAATTAATTTGTTGCGGTTTTTTTTTTTTTATTTCGATGAAAATACATCCTCGCGGAAAGTCTTTTTTATCAATATCACGATTATTCTATACTTAATTTTGGTCATGAACACGTGTGCACGAGAAATAAGGGTGTAATATCATTGAAAAGACCACGAACCCATTTGTCCAATGCAACGACCTATAATTATATTCCATTATTATTTTTCATATTAATAATTACAATAAAATAATTATAACGGGTTTTTTTTCTTTTCAGCAAAGAATAAAGCCTCAAGAATTATAATTATTATTTAATACTACTTGTATTGAAATAAATAATTTACCTTGATCGTCGAATGTCGCTAGAGTAAATTTACTGAGTTTATTTGTAAAACTACCGGTGTTTGTTATCACAGAACCTTCTGTACGATTTTGATTGGCAGAGTCGACGTTATCGTCCGTCAAACGACTGTCTTCGGCGAATACTGATATCAAAGTATCCATCATTATTGCCTGAAAAGATAACAATCATTTAATAAATAATTTTCTGAGTATACAATTTTTTTTTTAATTAAAAAAATAAATTTTTAATCAAAATCAATTTTTTACAGCCAAAATTAAATGACTTTTTTTTAACGTCGTTAATCTTAAATCATACTGTGAATTAATTATAATTTAAACTAAATTGCTGTGACCATAATCCTGACAAGCTTAAAATTAAATCTGAAAATGACATGAATGCATCATATCAAAATGTCAGTAACAGACTACTCGTCAAAATAATTACTAAAATCTTAATTATAATTAAATCTATATTATTAAGAGAATAAGAAAAATTTTGTGTTCGGGATAATCATATGATAAAAAAGGATTTCATAGTGTCATTGCAAAGATCTTTGAATTTATGCCTTTTCAAGGTTTCATATCATTATTACCCATAGTCAATTTATTATGATAAGTATTTAGGCTGCATTCGAAAATGCTCTATCTCTAGATACATAATTAGAAAATGACCTTGTACCTTGTGAAATATTGACATTTTTGAAGATATAAGCTCATCTCGACGTTACACTCATCGAGACCTTTCATTTGAGTACCTACATCAATTTTTTATATATGTCATATATTTTATACATTATTTATATGTATATATGAAAAATATATAAAAATGCATGTGGGTATTCAAATGAAAGCTCTTGATGAGTGTAATATCGTAATGAGCTTATATCTTTAAAAATGTCAATAGTTAAAAAAGTACAGTGCAATTCAACGTAATTAAGAAACTACCTTGTATCTTGTAAACTATTGACATTTTTGAAGATATAAGCTCATCTCGACGTTACACTCATCGAGACCTTTCATTTGAGTACCTACATCAATTTTTTATATATCTCATATATTTCATATATTATACATATGTATATATGAAAAATATATAAAAATGCATGTGGGTACTCAAATGAAACCTCTTTATGAGTGTAACATCGGGATGAGCTTATATCTTTAAAAACCTCAATATTTAAGAAAATACAGTGTAATTTAACAAAAGTCATTATTTAATAACGCAAAATTTTATTTATTTATAGTTCACAAGTCACGGCAGTCACGTAGTGACTGCAAAGTTGCTAGTTTACCATAAAAAATTTTCTAAATTCCAACAACTACTCAACGAAAAAGCTTTACAATAATAATAAACCTTAAATCCGCCCGTAAAACATAAAATTGACTTGATAAAATCCCCACTAAAATTTATTTACAAACAAAATAATCCTTTTTAGTACTAGTACTCACTTGTCGAGAAAATACTTGTAGTATTTTATACACCCGTGTGCCATTTTCCCTAACCGGAAACTGGAGAAATAAACAAGGCAAACAGTCTGGATTATTTTCGTCCGATGGCTTAGCCATTTCCCAACTCAGCTCCGAGTATTTCAAGCCCAGCAACAAGCTCTAAAAAATCAAGTAAATTAATTATTAAATCAATACTTGAACTCATTAATTAATTAATTGATTAATTTCAGGTGACAGAAGAAATTTAAAATAAACTCACACATTGCGAGTCATCAACGATGTAGACCCCGGAGGTATTGATAGCCACCAGAACAGGCTGGTCCCGGTTGGTGATCCAGGAAGCGAGCCCACGAACTGGTCGCTCAATTTGACCGTGAAAAAAGGCAGCTCCGTAGCTGGGCAATCCCCAGCAAAACTCCAAGTACTTTCTCACAAGCTTGCGGGAATTCGGGTTAGTCCCCGAGTGGTTGGGTATCCGCTTGTACTGCTCGAGCAGCCTGGCCTCTGGCGCGCCTTTTCCACCGACTAGACCCAGACCGAACCCCAGCCCGAACAATACACTAGGTGATGTATAGTGATGCGGTAAAAACTTGGCTCTGTGCTTCCTGAAGTACGCTAATGTATGCGTTTGTGCATTGTAAGGTCCAAGCTCTATTCTCGCTTGCAAAGCCCCCAGGCTTGCGTACCTCGCCTGGCCTTCGCATGGATACCTTCCTAAAAATAACCCGCACCAACTAATTTAATACTCAATCGATTAGACGTGCATTATGGTTACTCAATTATTAATTTAAATTCCCAACTACCGGGTAAGTTCTAAAATTTTTTTTTACACTGAGTTTCAATTTTAGAGTATTATAAATTTATAAGAATCTATATTCTTAAAAGAATAAGAAGAATTTTGTATAAGAAATTTAATAATTTCTTATGATAATTATTTAGGCTGCATTCAAAAATACTCTATCTTTAGCTACATAATTAAGAAATGACCTTGTATCTTGTCAACTATTGACATTTTCAATGATATAAGCTCATTCTGACATTACACTCATCGATACCTTTCATTTGAGTACCCACATCAATTTTTAATATATTTATATATATTATATATATATGTATATATGAAAAATATATAAAAATGCATGTGGGTACTCAAATGAAAGCTCTTGATGAGTATAACATCGAGATGAGCTTATTATCTTAAAAAATGTAAATAATTAAGAACTGACTTTATTATCTTGTGAACTATTGACATCTTTAAAGAAATAAGCTCATCTCGATGTTACACTCATCGAGACCTTTCATTTAAGTACCCACATCAACTTTTCATATATTTTATATATTTGTATATATTATATATATTAGGATGTGCCAAAATGTAACTTCCTTGATGGACCTCTTAAAATTGGAATTTTGAGTTCCGCTTTTAACAGGAGTTGTGTTTAGGCATTTCCTGATAAATTTTGCGCGTAAAAGATTTACTTAAACCCTTTCCGCTAAAATTTTGTCAGGAAATGCCCAAACACAACTCCTGTTAAAAGCGGAACTCAAAATTCCAATTTTAAGAGGTCCATCAAGGAAGTTACATTTTGGCACACCCTAATATATATAAATATATGAAAAATATATCAAAATGCATGTGGGTACTCAAATGAAAGCTCTTGCTGAGTGTAACATCGGGATGAGTTTATATCCCTAAAAATGTCAATGTTTAAGAAAGTACAGTGCAATTTAACAAAAGTCATTATTCACTAAAGCAAAAATTTAATTTTTTTATAGTTCACAAGTCACGGCAGTCACATAGTGACTGCAAGGTTGCTAGTTAATTATTATTGACATTATAATTAATTATTAAAATTATTAAATTTATAATAATAAAATTTTAATTTAAGTTTATTATTATTGTTATTTATTTAATTTACCTTCTAGAACATTATGCCTCGCTTCAGCGTACAACAGCTCCACAACTTTGGGCTCTTTGATCTGCTCTTCGTCTTTCTTCGACAGAAAAACGTTCCTTCGGACGTAGAGCAGCGGTTCCTCCTCGGAGCGTCCTCTCCTGGAACCGTACTTGCTGAGGAGCTTGTTCCACCTGCCAGCAAGTTCCACAGGCCGATGGCTCGGTCTTAGCTGGAGTTCCAGCTCGGAAGAACACATCCACAATGCGAACACCGGCTGGCCGGTTGCCGAGGGGGCTCGTGATAACCCCAGCTCGGCCTCCGTTTGCACTATTGACAGAATATGTTGGGCTGATATACTTCTCTCGACCTCCATCGTCAGCAGGACTCCTGACATCAGATACACGGCTATGCGAATTTTTTTCTGCGGGATGCTCTGATGATTTATCGCTTCTAATTTGGATGATTGCAGTTCTGAAATTTTGTAGGTGAGTTATTTTTATTTATAGTCTTCTTAAACTCTCACTGTTGTTTTATTACAAATAAATAATTATATAATTACATATGACGTGTTATTCAAACAGAAGGTACATAATGTTTATTTTTAATTATTTCAAGAAGAAAAAAATTTTTTTTTATTTGCATTAAAATTGAAGAGAAGAATAAGGGTGTATTTTTTATGATACAAAAATTAGCTGACATTTTTTGGAATTTTTATATAAAAAAATATTCTAAAAAATTTGCACATTTTTTTTTTTATTTAATTTTAAAAATTTATAATTGATATTTTTTAAATTCTTATGAATAATTAAATTAATTATATTTTAAACCAAAAATTTTTATATTTCTTCTTTTTAATAATTTGAAAAATTAAAGATTAAATTTTTTTTAAATTGACAGAAAAATTTTAGTAAAAAAAAATAAATAGAAAAATTTTTTTTATTTCTTCTATTTAATAATTCAAAAAATTAAAGATTAAATTTTTTTTAATTTATAGAAAAATTTCAGTAGAAAAAAATAAACACAAAAATTTTTTTATTTCTTCTATTTAATAATTCAAAAAATTTTATAATAAATTTTTTTAAATTGACAGAAAAATTTTAGTAGAAAAAAATAAAAATTATTTAATAAAAAATAAAAATATTCAGCTACTATTTTCTGTATCATAAATTATAATCCCTATAAAAACTAAAAATAAAAGAAATTAATTAATAAATACTTACGAGGCAATACATAACAATCTTTTTTATACCCATTTTGAAAACGACGAACAGGCTGTTGCCTCCTCATCGCACAGTCTTCTTGTTGATCCATATTTTATAAATTTAATAATTAAATACACATACTACTACTTATCCAAATTAATTATTGACAAAATAATTTATTTCTTCTCAATTTATTAAATATCAATAACTGAATAAATAAATTAATTAATTTATCAGTCACCTAATTTACTTTACAAAATTTAAATTACCCCTAGCAATATTTTTGTGTGATATTGAGTGACTCCAATAATTTATATGTCTCCTCATTATCTTGGCAACTGTGCAATTAACGTGAATTAATTTCATCTTTTGTTTACACCACATGATTTCTTCGCGACTTTTATTTTTATCGTATAAAACATTTGACTTAATTAATCAACCGTGAGATTTTTATAAATATTTTATTTATATAAATATTTTATTGAAACACATTGGGCTTTGTTGTTGTTATTGAATAATATTATTTCTTATCATTATTATTATTATTTAAAATTTTAATATAAGTTAGTATATTAAATATTTAACATCGACGTTTAGTAGACACTTGTATACAAAGTTTTAGAAAAACAATTAATTAAGAATCTGAAGTCGATAGTTGACGTTCCGTGGTGCAGTAAATATAACCATTTGCTCTATTATATGTAGTACTTGTGAACAGTACATAGACACAGAGTACCATTAGAGTTGGGGTTGTTATTGATTTCTTAAAACTCTCTCTACTCTTTTACTGCACACGCGGGGCTCTGATACTGACCGAGCAGATTAATTTTCCCAAAGCAAAACGCTTGCGCGTCATCTCCGATGTTTACTCTCATGTTAAACCATTCTCACACACTAACACACCCAATCTTGTTAATTAATTTTAACAATTACCCGCGACTTTTGAAATAAGAAAAAAAAAAGTCTGGATAATACATTGAATTACATTTAACTTCATTCTATTAACTTGGTACTTTATCTTGTATTTCTTCTTCAAGAATTACAGTACTTGAACTTGTAAACATTTCAGTCAAAATAGAAGTAATTATTTATTATTATTAATAAATTATTTATTAATAAGTAATTATTTTTCTTGTTATTAATGAGTTAAAGAATATTAGGTGATTTTTTTTAATTAATTTAATATTCTTCTTTTTAATATTTTAATGTTAAATAATTTTTAATGACCTTGTATCTTGAGAACAATTGACATTTTTAAAGATATAAGCTCATTTCGACATTATACATATCGAGACCTTTCATTTGAGTACCCACATCAATTTTTCATATATTTTATATATTTATGTATATTATATATATAAATATATGAAAAATATATAAAAATGCATGTGGGTACTCAAATGAAAGCTCTTGATGAATGTAACATCGGAATGAGCTTATATCTTAAAAAATGTCAATGATTAAGAACTTACTTTACTATCTAGATAACTATTGACATTTTTAAAGATATAAGCTCATCCCGATGTTACACTCATCGAGATTAATATTCTTCTTTTTAATATTTTAATGTTAAATAATTTTTAATGACCTTGTATCTTGAGAACAATTGACATTTTTAAAGATATAAGCTCATTTCGACATTATACATATCGAGACCTTTCATTTGAGTACCCACATCAATTTTTCATATATTTTATATATTTATGTATATTATATATATAAATATATGAAAAAATATATAAAAATGCATGTGGGTACTCAAATGAAAGCTCTTGATGAATGTAACATCGGAATGAGCTTATATCTTAAAAAATGTCAATGATTAAGAACTTACTTTACTATCTAGATAACTATTGACATTTTTAAAGATATAAGCTCATCCCGATGTTACACTCATCGAGACCTTTCATTTGAGTACCCACATAAATTTTTCATATATTTATATATATTATATATATGTATATATGAAAAATATATAAAAATGCATGTGGGTACTCAAATGAAAGCTCTCGATGAGTGTAACATCGGGATGAGCTTATATCTTCAAAAACGTCAATATTCAAGAAAGTGCAGTGCAATTGAACAAAATTCATTATTTAGTTAAGCAAAATTTTATTTATTTATAGTTCAAAGTCCCGGCAGTCACATAGTGACTGCAAGGTTGCTAGTTTTATTAATTTATAATTCTTTAAGCATTAAATAATAAAAATTAACATACCTCCGAAAGTTGCAAAGACTATTTATATTTTCAAAAAATATCTTAATGCTTAATAATTTGCAAAGGAAAAAAATAATTTAGATAATATTATACATTAAATTAAATTTAACTCTTCACTTAATTTTTACTCCAAATATTTTTAATTCTTCACCTTAGAAATTACAATACTTCCTAAAGCACATAAACATCTGATTTAACATTAAAAAAAAAGAAGAAATGATAATAATATGAAAACTTAAATACAATACATATTAAATTAAATACTTGATTATACATAAGTTGATAATTTTATCTCTAGACATATATTTGTTGGAATTTTTTAATTACAGTTGAAACTGTAAGTTCATTAAAAATACAATTAGTGATAATAATTAAGTGATTAATTATTTGTAGTGTTATCAGAGTGATAAAAAATGTTTAAATTAAATCAGCGACGTTCATCGGCATTTCATCGATTTGCGTAGAATAATATTGTTCAATATCCCGGAGAATACGAATGTCGTCAGTCTTGACGAAGTTTATAGAGACACCTTTACGTCCAAAACGACCTGATCTGCCAATTCGGTGGATGTACAACTCACGGTTGTTGGGCAAGTCGTAATTTATAACTAATGATACTTGTTGAACATCAATACCACGTGCCCAGACGTCTGTTGTAATTAAAACACGGCTAAAAAAAATCAATCATTAATTATTAATAAATTATTAAAAAATAATTTATAATTAAGTAATAGTTACCTCTGTCCAGATCTGAATTCTTTCATAATGTTATCACGCTCTTTCTGAGGCATATCTCCATGCATTGAACAAACTGTAAAATTAGCCTCTCGCATCTTCTCTGTAAGCCAGTCAACCTTGCGTTTAGTATTGCAGAAAATAACAGCCTGGGTGATGGTCAATGTGTCGTATAAATCACACAATGTATCAAACTTCCATTCTTCACGTTCTACTGCTACGAAGAATTGCTTAATTCCTTCGAGTGTCAACTCATCACTAGAATAATAAATTTTATAATTAAAATAAATTTTTAAATTAATAAAAATTATATAATTAATACTTAAGATAAATATTAAGTCTATAAATAAATTAATTAATTAAATTTACCGTTTAACGAGAATACGAATAGGATCAGTCATAAACTTGGAAGTCATTTCAAGAATTTCGTGTGGTAACGTAGCAGATACAAGGACAACTTGTGTCGCTGGAGGTAAATAACGATACACATCATAAATTTGTTCCTTAAATCCCTTGTTCAACATTTCATCAGATTCGTCAAGTACTAGCATCTTTATGGCTCTGGTTCTGAGTGTTCGCCTTTTGATCATATCTAAATAATATTATTAATTATTAATATAGTTGATAATTTAAAATCAATAATTGCCGATCGATAATTTTAATCATTGCCGTTTTTAATCATAAATAAAAAACACTAAGTAATTAAATAATAATTATGATACTGAAATTAGCCAACATCTGACAATTCTTAGAATTTTTATAACCAATAAATTATTATAAAAAAAATTGCACTTATAGTTTTTCAAATTTATTACAAATAAAATTTTTTTTTAGATAATTTGATTAGTAAAAAAAATTTTAACATGTCAGCTAACTTAATTTTCATGCCAAGAAGAAATTCTTCATAATTATTTATTTGATTTTTTTTTTCTATGTAAATTTATTTATTTTCAGAGAATGATATTTATATTTCAATGTTTGTAACTTTGCCATTCGGCTTGCTGCCTTAGCATTTAAATTAAATAAATAAATAAATAATAATAATAATAATAATATTTACCAAAAACACGTCCAGGAGTTCCAGAGACAACATGTTGTCCATAATCAAGCTTCCTGATATCCTCACCGAGGTTAGTTCCACCAATACAAGCATGACACTGGACATTCATAAAATCTCCTAGAGCAAGAATTACCTTCTGGATCTGAACCGCTAACTCACGAGTTGGCGACAGAACTAGGACTTGTGTTTCCCGGATTTGAGTGTCCAGAGACTGGAGAATGGCAATAGAGAAAGTTGCTGTTTTACCAGTACCGGATTGAGCTTGTGCTATCACATCTCGGCCTTTCATCATGGGTTTTATGGACCTCTGTTGAATAGCAGATGGTCTTTCAAAACCTACAAAAACATAAAAATTATTATTTAAGTTAAAAAAAAAAAAAAAAAAAAAACATTTTTTTAGGTTAGAATTTACCAACAAAATTTAAAGAAAAAAATTATTAGCTTACCGTAAGCGTAAATTCCACGCAATAATTCATCACGCAGTCCCATATTATCAAACGTATTGATAACTTCAACATCTTCACTGGTTTCAAATTCAACGTTTGATAAATCTTCCGTTTGGGCAACACGTCTTGCTTTTCCTTCCGCCATTTCGGTAATTTATTTTTACTTGTGTTTTGTGTTTTCACTAATTTAGTTTAACTCTGCTTGGTATTTAGTTAGTCACTATCAAGATACACACTGAACTAAAAACTAAAAACTCACACGTCGGGTTTCTCCGGTCGGACTCGGAATTGAACGATCGGTAAAGAAGACTAATTCTCGGCTAAGTTCGGTTTTTGTCGCCAAGTTTCGGAAATTATATTAAAGTTATTAAAGTCAACTGTCACTTGATTATTTTTTTATTTTATTTAACAAAAAAATTTGTTATGAAAAATTATTTAAAAAAAATTGCATTTTTAATTTATTAAATTTTCTTAATGTTCATTTTTTTATGCAGTAATTTTTTTATTTAAATTAATTTTCATGTTTCGGCATTCCAACCCAGAGGGAGCTGTTCTACCATAACAAAACTCGCGCTCCTGGTTGTTGTCAAGTTGTCATCACACCAATAATAATTACTTGTTTTAACTTGCATTATTTAAATGTTTTAATAATAATCATTTGAAAAATAATTTTTTAAATACTCAACACGTGTTAAAATTAAAATTTTCATAAATAATTATTTATTTAATGAAAGAAGTGATATTGTGAAGCTCAATAAATCCAGTAGAGCTGTAGAGGTTATGAATAAAACTTGGACGATAAAATTTATTTAAAAAACTAATTAAATAATTTATTTAAAAAACTTATTAAATAATGGCATCAAAAAATAAACAAAAAGAAGCGTCGATAGCTGTCAAATTGGAAGAACCTCTGACAAGTGAATCCTGTTCGAAAATAATTATTGAACTAATAAAGTATATATTGTTTCAAAAACAGCAAATACCATTTTCTTTTGATACTTTAGTGAAGATTCAAACTAAAACAAAACCATCGGACAGGAATTACAATTCTACTAAATCACTATTTAATACTCTGGATAACATGACCTCCCAGTTGTCATCGCAGTTACATTTATCTGGGTGCGATGTAAGAGAAGTTGTTGTGGTTATTGGTGCTACTACTGTCACACCAAAGTTTTGTTTGAAACTTAAATTACCTGGAATTATTTTAAGTAGCAGAAAACACGTGGAGCATCAGCATTCTTTTAGAAAACCTCTTCTTTCTTTAATGAAGTAAGTATTAAAAGGAGGTCCTTTCGCCGCCAATGTAAAATAAAAAATATTGGATTATGAGTAAATTCAATTTTTTTCTAATAGTTAAGGTCCTTATTTATCTAATAGTGAGGTTTAAATTATACTTTACCGGACATTAATATGGAGTCAAAATATACATTAATATGGAGTCAAAATATTTGGCAACGTTGCGTATCGCGGGAGCTTCAGACCATTCAATAAATTCAAACTAATTTATTTATTTACACTGACTGCAAAAACTTAAACGTGTTTAAGGTTATATTGTGCAAATGAAAATGTAAACAATCGAAGTACAGCGTTGCCAAATCACGGACAGATTACTTGCAGCTGTTTTGAAAGAGTCAAATTAATTTTTGTATTTAACTATTTTTTTTTTTTTATTTTCAAAATTTCAACGATTAATGCCTCATATACTATTTATTATTTAATTTTAGGAATTTTTATGGGTTTTTTATTTTAATTTATCGTATATTGACTACTACAATTGTTTTGACTCAACTGGAGCGAAAGGATTTCCTTATTTTTTATAATGATACTAAAATTAACCAGTCAAATGTTAATTTTTTTAATTTCTTTAAAAAAATTAGTATGAAGAAATTTTTATTTATTTATTTATTTATTAAGAAAATAAAAGAAATTATATTTTTTATTAATATCTTTTTTATCATGGATGTATTATAAAAATTTTAAAAATTGACAAATGTCTGTCTGCTGACTTCAAGATAATTTTTTATATTAATTTATAAAAATAAAATTAGCAGACATTTAATAATTAAAAAAATTTTTTTATCAAAAAAATTAAAAGAAAAAAATTCCATATGTTGAAAATTTGAAAAACTATAAGTGCAATTAAAGAAAAATAATTTAATTATAATAAAATAATTATATATTATTATAATTTAATTAAAATAATTAAATGATAAAAAAAATAATTACTGCTAATGTTAGTATCATAAAAATACTTCCTAAACTATAAAATATTTTATTAATAAAATTAATTATTTTATTTTTAATTTATCCAGGTCTTTAGTTGAGAGTCCAGAGTTCCAAGAAGCGATGACAGTACCCCTAGGCTTAACCAACACCTTCATATTGCTTCAAAAAAGCGATACGAATGCCAGATCTGACTATTTCATGCCCAAACCTCAGTACAATTTGCCAGTCCACTCGAGCACGTGTTTTACTATTAACTTGTACCACGAGGACTTCATATTAGACTGCAAGTGTGATAATTTAGTGAGGGTGTACAACGACGACCAGCGAGAACTTGTTGCGGGTCTAGAAGACGACGAGCCTGACAGAAGAAATTGCAATAGACCAGAAGACTCATATCTTTGGTACCAGTCCAGGGAATCTGTTAGAGGATTTAAATTTATAAGATAACTATTATCAATTAAATGCAATTAGACACAATTTTTTTAAACTGTTAACTATTTAAAGAAGACTGTTTGATATTTTTATATTTTTATTAAGCTTTTTAACTAGATTTCGAAATTTATATTAATGATAATTTTATAAAGCTAAAAAAATATAAAAATATATTTTTAAAGACAAGAAATATCAAATTTAATGTTATGCGACTACGAATGTGTTATATAATTTATATGTAATCGATTCAGCTAAATTTTTATCTCAATTTTTTTTTAATTATATTTGATTGTAGTGAATTGAGAATTTAAGGTCGAGTGTCAATGTAAAAAAAAAAAATGATCTTTTTGTACTTTAATAACATCTAGAAAAAAAATTGTCACTTAGCCATAAAACTTAAAATAATATAAAATTTATAAATGAATAAATAATAAAAATTAACAATGATATGAAATTAAAAAATAAATATTTTTTTTTAATATTCTTAAATTTAAGAATGAAATAATTTACGTTTAATTGTAATAAATTAATATCGAAGCTCGGATGTCGATGCAGATAAAATTGTGACTTTTTATTAAAAAAAAAAAAACTTGTAATCGATTACCGTAACATCCAACTTTTCCACTATCTCGTACATTATTGACAAATAATTACATCCGAGTGGGAAGATTATTATTTAATAGCTCTATTATCAGATATCTGATTAGTCTTCAATCGCGAGCAATAAGCTTCAAAAGTAAAACATAAAGCTAATCTAAAAATGAACAAACTTAAGTTTTGTACTCCAGAGCAGAAGAAATGTTGGCAGGACAATGGATACGTAAAACTTACCAATGTCTTTACACCAAAAGAAATAGAAGAAATGTCTGCTGAGTACGACGAACTGTTCGAGCGCAAAAGACGGGAAGACTTGGCAGGTTTGGAGTCAGCTTGGGCTGGAAATGACATGAAAAATTTATCTGGCAACCGCAATGTTACTGTAAGTCTTTAAAAAATTTTTTTTATCAATTATTTTAATAATTTTTTAATCAATTAATTTCTAGGTAAAATCCATCCACAACCTCCAGATGCACAGCGCAGTTTTCACCCGCGTGATAACAAACTCCAATTTGCTAGACGCGATGGAAGACATCATGGGCACCAAGGACATTCTTTTGCACCATACCAAAGCTCACATCAAGCCACCAGAGAAAGGAGCTCCCTATTTAATGCACCAAGACTACCCGTACTTCCCTCACAAGAAGCACACTATGCTGGCAATCTTCATTCATCTTGATGACACTACTCCAGAGAACGGCGGGCTGGCTATTTACCCTGGAAGCCACAAGTTGGGACCTCTTCCTCCGAAGAAAATTATTGATGAAAAGAACGAAGCTTATCATTACGTAGATCCTGAAAAATATCCGCTGTCCAAAGCTACTCCAGTCAGTGCTAAAAAGGGAGAAATAATCGCTTTTACTTACTTGACTCTTCATGGATCGTACTTAAATCTTTCTGACAGACCTAGACGCATGTTTTTGATTCAACTGAGGGCTGCTGATGACGAGCCTACTGAAGATACTCATAAGTCTCCTTGTCAGGAGTTGGTTTTAAGAGGAAGAAATGTTTATCGTAGTGCTAATATGGCTCACAGATTTGCTCATTGATTTTTTTTTTTTATTTAAAGTAAAAGACCCAATTATTGACACTTGCATTATATATATAATAATAATAATAATATATATATATATATATATATATATATATATATATAGTATATATATATATATATATATATATATATATATATATATATATATATATATATATATATATATG